ACCTTATTTTCAATAAGCAATCCTGAAAAATATTTGGGGGTGCTTAACTTTTTTCCAGGTGTATATGTAGGATCTACATGTGCTGTATTTAATATCGATAACTTTTAATTAACAAGTTAAAAATTATTTTGGTTAATTGATTTATAAAGTTTTAAGGATTTTCTGATTCAATTTTGTCCAAATTAATGCGGTTTACTGGGTTCAAGGGTAGCATCATATCAGTTTTGAGAAACTGCTAATATTTTAGTCTTATAATGTGAGTACGTATACCATGATATACAGTTTACTTGCCATTTTTAGTGTTCTCAATTTTACATTTTGAAATCGCAACAATGCATTTATACGAGTATTTTCTAAAAATATTTAAAAATGAACAATTATATCGTATTTCTACGAAAAGAAAAGACAAAGTTAGGGGTATGATATGGCTATGCACAAATTTATGGATTAGGCATGAAAAAACGTAGGTTTTCACACCATATTTGTATTTTCTTGTGACCATTAGATTTATAATGTTTTTATTAAAAACTTACATCCAACCTTTCAAGTTTAACCAGATAGACTGAACGTATTTCTTAAAGTTGTTTGCCTACTTATTATTATTAAAGGTTTAAGTTATGTTGTTTTGACAATTTGGCATATATTCCATGCAGTTAGTTCCTCTTGCGAATTAATTTTATTTCTGTAATGTTGGTTGTCATAGTATACTCCTGCACACTATTTTAAAATTAAAATTGAGTTAAGAAACAATTATAGCTACAGATTTGCATTATTTGAAAATACAGCACAGGTTGGACTCGTTGTATGAGACAAAATGTCGTCAAAGGTTTGGGCCAATTTACCTCCACCTAAACTAATCGATCAATTAGTCACTTAGTCAAAATAATTAATGACGAGATTTTTTATATTTCAATAAAAAATTAAACCTTATATTTGAGATTATTCTGTAGTGGAAATCTTTGAGGACGCTCTCATGTCGAGAATTTGATATGACAATAACCTGCATATTCAGCACAACAATAATTATTAAAAAAATAAGCTCGAAATGACAAGTGACTCTCACCTAAACACAAGTATTTATTCGTGGGTGAATGACAATATAAATAATGGTAATGAGAACTTTAAAAGATTGGTGATTACGAAACAATAACTTAAAATAAAAATGGGTCAACTTTTACTTATAATGATTTATAAGTAGCCTATTTACTCTTGATACAAAGAGAGAACGGTGACTTTGAGGAATTCGTGTATGCAGTTCAATGGGCGTATAAATACGGACCAAGTGAGGTCTAACTGTAAGCGTTCCCAGATTGTAAATCCGAGGATTTGTGGTTTGCATCCCATTGTCGTATAAACGCGCTAAGCACTTTGGTCTTGGGTGCGTTATAAGGGTGACGATCAAATTATATTATTTTATTAATCAAAAGTAGCCCATGGACTGGTGGTGGGTCCTGTTGATTAGTTGCCTTATTTTCAGACTATCATTCCAAAATTAGAGACTGATGTGCGCAGATAGCCGTTTTGTAGTTTAGCGCGAAAAATTCTAAAACAAAATTGTAAACAATTACAATAATATGTATCGTGCATCAACTGAAGAACAAAGAATACCTTAATTATAAAATCCATTCTTCACAATAGTTTGATTTTCAAAAGAAGTAGATGGTTTAACTAATATAACTTATCGATTTCGTGAGGTATTAAAAATATACATTTAATGAAGACATATAAACGAAATATTCTAATAATTATTAACTGCAAGACCACGGGTGTCTTAATCAAAGTATTACACAGTAGATGATGAACACTTAAAATGGTCATATTCAGGAGAAAAAAGTCAGTGTGTTGTATACAGCCATTATCAACGATCGGTAACAAATACTTAAGTTATTCCCTACTTTTTATAAGCAGTTACCGCACAAACAATAAATCAAGTATATAGCTAATGATAGAGGATTTGATCCAAATATTGTAGACAAAGCATTTGAGAAGTTTAACAAAAATGCAATTTCAGTTAAAAATACCACATTAAAATCTGCTTATGAAAAAAACATAAAAGAAACTCTAAGTTTACCTTACGTTCCAGGTTTAACAAGTCAATTATATAAAGTATTCAAAAAGTATCAGAATTTTTACCCTATCTTCAAACCAGTAAATAAGATAAAAGATATGATAGGGAATGCTAAAGACAGAATAGAATTAACAGAAAAAACGGGTATATACAAGATAGAATGTGAATGTGGTAGTATTTATATTGGTCAAACTAAAATAAATTTAGGGGAATAAACTTTAGTTATAGCTCAGCCTCGAAGTTTTATATCATTA